TCAGGGTCAAATGTTATGACCTCACGCCATTACATAGTGTCAACAGTTACGTGCAAGTTTTTCTTCCATCATATATAGATGACGTCAGCAAAAAAATGAAAATTATTACACTTTTATTACACTAATATTTCATTTTTTAACAGTAATTAGCTTGGCTACCAAACGAACTGAGGCATGAACTCATCCATCGAATTCCTTATTGTGCCAGACTGAAGGCAGTCTATTTCGTAGATGAAATGCAAAATTATGATAGAACCTCAGCAAATATATGTGATAAGTGTAATATTACAATTATTCGTGCCGTCGAAAGTGGACATTTGGGAATACTTTGTGAATTTGTACTTAATTTTGCGTATATGTTGCTTGTTTAGGGGAATCTCAATGTTTGAAAAGTCTTTGAGGAAAGGAACGAAAAATGGATGAAAACAACTTAAATCTTGCGAATTATTGGAAGATGAGGAGTAACGTGGCAAGGCTTGGAAGATGAAGGGTTTGGATTGAAATTAGAAATAGGAATGAAAAAAATCGTTAAACCCAATACTTACAGGTCCCATCCCAAACATGACAGAGATTTCGCACGTAATCAAATTCTCTGGATGGGCAGGGCGACAGCCATTGCCTCGAGGTGAGCACAATCCCCACCCAGCAGCCTAACCCCCTTTGACAAATTTTGAATTTGAGTATCTAATTCAATTCCGGCCCTCCAAGGCTTGAAACTATCTCCTTTGTATGGTCTAGTAGTTATATTGCTCAAATAAATAACGGTGTGGGTTCATTTGATAATTTGCGTTTATTAGTTTATGGGCATGAAAAGAGATTCATTTGGTCCAAGTTGATGAATTGAAAATAAATTGGAATGTAGAAAATTATGCCTATGTGTACACATAGGCCAAATGGCCATACATGCACAAGGAACTGCAGGAAATTGAAGCAATTTTGCTTCTACTATGTGAATGCAAGCATATAACTTGTGTATGCATGGTTCAATTTTATAGTCGTTCAACTATTTTTTCATTTGAAATTTGGTGTTGATTCATGAAATGTTTCCAACTTTTTATAAATTGTTGAGACATGTTCAAGGCATATAGATAGAAATACTATAAATAGATGATAGATTTTCATTTTTCAAATATAAGAAACAACAAGTAAATCATTACTTGAGATATTCCAATTCATTCATCAAAGAGTCAAACTTCTTAAAGTTTTCAACAAGTTTAACTAGGAAGAATCAATTGTCTCTTTATGCTTCTTCCTTGAAGGCTTGTCAATGCTCTAAATTATTTGTCGAAAATCCTAAAAGCATACTAGATGAGACAAATATCATTTTTAAGATAGCGTATCATATACGTGTTCGAGCCCTATTCTCCATTTCATCTTGTTCAAGTTTCTATCCCCATTTCTCCTCTTCAATATTTTCAGTAGACGGTGTCTCGAGCTGACAATTGCTTTAGGGTTCTCATCATTGATTACCCAGTTACTTGGCACCCCATGACTTAATCGATTGACGGATGACTTGATCCATGCTTACAAAGTACGGAGTTGATATTGATGTTCTCGTGGATCTCTAGCTATTACGTATCATATTGAAGAAGCAATACCAAATCCGTCGATACCACTTGTCATCACTAAATTCTTTGAAATAAACTATGTGACCGAAGTCCTTGATGATTTAACCACGAGAATGTCAAAAGTCTAATTTCTAATGCTTTTTCCTCCATTATGTACATTATATTGGAGCAATTAAAAATCTACATACTTTTGTCCTAAACAAGAAGTTCAAAAAAAGTGTAACAACCAGCACTATAATAACAACAACAACAACAACAACAACAACAACAACAATAATAATAATAATAATAATAAGACGAACATATTATTCAATAAAGCTACTGTCATTAATGTTTGTAATCGACCTTCTAAAACATCCTTATTTGGTTTCATTTTTTAAAATTTATTTTTCCTAAAAACGTTTATGGGATTCATAATTTTAATCTACTTTGAACTATCCACACACCTTATTAACTTTTTTAAAAAATTACTAAAAATATGACTTTTATCAAAACCACACAAGATATAGTTGCACTAAAATCGTCGAGCGTCTCCAACCCATCCTCATTGCACCATAATTCACCAAATTGCACCAAAAATCCCCTCTAGCCCATTGTGCCATTTGGTGTAACACTATTCATTTGCACCAAAATGAATAAAATACACTTTTACCCTTCTCTTCCACTTTGCACCAATTTTTGTTAAGGGTATATTTGTCCATTTTGTTATACAATAAANTCAGGGTCAAATGTTATGACCTCACACCATTACATAGTGTTAACTGTTGCGTGCAAGTTTTTCTTCCATCATATATAGATGACGTCAGCAAACAAATGAAAATTCTTTTAAAAGAAAATTATTACACTTTTATTACACTAATATTTCATTTTTTAACAGTAATTAGCTTTGGCTACCAAACGAACTGAGGCATAAACTCATCCATCGAATTCCTTATTGTGCCAGACTGAAGGCAGTCTATTTCGTAGATGAAATGCAAAATTATGATAGAACCTCAGCAAATATATGTGATAAGTGTAATATTACAATTACTCGTGCCGTCGAAAGTGGACATTTGGGAATACTTTGTGAATTTGTACTTAATTTTGCGTATATGTTGCTTGTTTAGGAGAATCTCGATGTTCGAAAAGTCTTTGAGGAAAGGAATGAAAAATGGATGAAAACAATTTAAATCTTGCAAATTATTGGAAGATGAGGAGTAAAGTGGCAAGGCTTGGAAGATGAAGGGTTTGGATTGAAATTAGCAATAGGAATGAGAAAAAAATCGTTAAACCCAATACTCACAAGGTCCCATTCCAAACATGACCGAGATTTCGCTCGTAATCAAATTCTCTGGATGGGGTTGGGCGATAGACATTGCCCCGAGGTGAGCACAATCCCCACCCAGCAGCCTAACCCCGTTTGACAAATTTTGAATTTGAGTATCTAATTCAATTCCGGCCCTCCAAGGCTTGAAAATATCTCCTTTGTATGGTCTAGTAGTTCTATTGCTCAAATAAATAACGGTGTGGGTTCATTTGATAATTTGCTTTTATTAGTTTATGGGCATGAAAAGAGATTCATTTGGTCCAAGTTGATGAATTGAAAATAAATTGGAATGTAGAAAATTATGCCTATGCGTACACATAGGCCAAATGGCCATACATGCACAAGGAACTGCAGGAAATTGAAGCAATTTTGCTTCTACTATGTGAATGCAAGGATATAACTTGTGTATGCATGGTTCAATTTTATAGTCGTTCAACTATTTTTTTCATTTGAAATTTGGTGTTGATTCATGAAATGTTTCCAACTTTTTATAAATTGTTGAGACATGTTCAAGGCATATAAATAGAAATACTATAAATAGATGATCGATTTTCATTTTCAAATATAAGAAACAACAAGTAAATCATTACTTGAGATATTCCAATTCATTCATCAAAGAGTCAAACTTCTTAAAGTTTTCAATAAATTCAACTAGGAAGAATCAATTGTCTCTTTATACTTCTTCCTTGAAGGCTTGTCAATGCTCTAAATTATTTGTCGAAAATCCTAAAAGCATACTAGATGAGACAAATATCATTTATCATATACGTGTTCGAGCCCTATTCTTCATTTCATCTTGTTCAAGTTTCTATCCCCATTTCTCCTCTTCAATATTTTCAGTAGACGGTGTCTCGAGCTGACAATT